CATGTATCTTCTTTTCAAGCATGTTTTTCCAGAGTATGTAGTTTCTGATCTCAGGAAGCTATCCAGCTAGGTTACTGGACTACTTTAATGAATTTTCTCTTTAGTATTTTCACAACAAGCCGCACGAATCCTAGAAGTGATATGTATCGTTTTAATGTGCAACTTTCCAGCCAGTGGTTGTTGTAAGAATAGAGGTTTCCATTGCTTTATGCTGTACATGCCAGGGAGGTTTGTAGTGGTGGCGGCAAACACGCCCCAGCCACGTGAGCAGCAGGACTTCTCCATGCTTCCCTGCCTGAGGGCAAAGGTGGGGGTGTCACAGCAGCAGTGCCCCCCCACCCCCCCGCCTGCTGCCCTTCCCTGATGCCCCCCAGAACAGCCGGCAGGAATAGAGGTTTCCATTGCTTTATGCTGTACATGCCAGGGAGGTTTGTAGTGGTGGCGGCAAACACGCCCCAGCCACGTGAGCAGCAGGACTTCTCCATGCTTCCCTGCCTGAGGGCAAAGGTGGGGGTGTCACAGCAGCAGTGCCCCCCCACCCCCCCGCCTGCTGCCCTTCCCTGATGCCCCCCAGAACAGCCGGCAGGGAAGGGGGCCCCAACAACAGCTGGTAGGGAGGAGGAGAAGGCAGGAAACGGGGGAGGCTGTGCAGGCCCAGGCAGGCACGGGATCAGGGGATGGGAAGAGGTGGGGATCATGGTGGCAGCTGTTGTCAGGGCCAGGCAGCAGGGAAGGAAGGAATGGAGGGGAGGAGAGGGAAGCAGGGAGGGAAGGAGGGTCACAGTGGCGGTGCCCCCCCACTGCCTGGCCCCAACAAGAGCTAGCAGGGAGGGGGAGGTGGCAGAGAGGGGGGAAAGGAGGGAGGGAGGCAAGCGGGGAGGGGAGGCGGGGGGAAGCCCCACTGCGTGGCAGAGGCAGAAGCAGGCCAGGGGAGGGAGCCCCTGAGTCAGAGACTGGAGGAAGAGGCAGCGGCAGAGGGAGTCTTTACATGGCCAGCCCCGAAGGGTGAGCGGGGGAGGGGGAGTGAGGGGGGACCATGTAAACACTCCCTGAAATCTATCATTCTTGATGAGCAAATAGCTAATATATATATATATGGATATAGTTAAAATGTACTTAATTCTTCAGGGGTTTTTTTCTGTTCTGTTCTTTTCTGTTCTGTTCTTTTTGTATTTAGTGAATGCAGAAGTTTCTACCTTATTCTATATTTGGTGTCAGATCATCATTAAATTTGGGTAGAGGACTCTTGTCACCAGTATGCATCATTCTGATTTTGGCTACAACTGCAACTGAGTTCTCACATTTTGCCCATTTGTAGAGGGTGGGTGCACAGAAGCCTTGGCTGATTTGCAGACTATGGGACTATGCAGACATTAGGACCCATATAGAATCAAAGAAAATTAGAGTTGGGAGGGACCCCAGGATGTCATCTAGTCCCAACCTCCTGCTCAAAGTAGGACCATCCCCAACTAGATCATCCCAGCCAAGGCTTTGTCTAGGCAGTTCTTAAAAACCTTCAAGGATGGAGATTTCATAACCTCTCTGGGTAACCTGTTCCAGTGTTCTACTATCCTCCTAGTGAGAGAGTTTTAACCTAAACTTCCTTTGTTGCAACTGGAGACCATTGCTCCTTGTTCTGTCATCTGCCATGACTGAGAACAGTCTAGCTCCATCCTCTTTGGAACCACCCTTCAGGTGGTTGAAAGCTGCTATTAAATCCCTTCTCAGTCTTATTTTCTCTAGACTAAATAAGCCCAGTTTCCTCAGCCTCTCTTCATAAGTCACATTCCCCAGGTCCTCTAAACATTTTCATTGCCCTCCATTGGACTCTCTTCAATTTGTCCACATCCTTTCTGTAGTGGGGGGCCCAAAACTGGACATAATACTCCAGATTGGACTACACAATTGGTGACGGACAGGGGGGACAAGGCTGAACTCCTCAACGAGTTCTTTGCCTCAGTGTTCCTAAGTGAGGGACAGGACAAGTCTCTCACTGGAATTGTAGAGAGGCAGCAGCAAGGCGCCAGACTTCCATGCGTAGACCCTGAGATGGTGCAGAGTCACTTGGAAGAACTGGATGCCTTTAAGTCGGCAGGCCCGGATGAGCTCCATCCAAGGGTGCTGAAGGCACTGGCCGACATCATTGCAGAGCCACTGGCGGGAATATTCGAATGCTTGTGGCGCAAGGGCCAAGTCCCGGAGGCCTGGAAAAGGGCCAATGTGGTCCCCATTTTCAAGAAGGGGAGGAAGGAGGACCCGGGCAACTATAGGCCAGTCAGTCTCACCTCCATCCTTGGCAAAGTCTTTGAAAAAATTATCAAGGCTCACATATGCGAGAGCCCGGCAGGACAAATTATGCTGAGGGGAAACCAGCACGGGTTCATGGCAGGCAGATCGTGCCTGACCAATCTAGTCTCTTTTTATGGCCAGGTTACGAAACGCCTGGACACAGGAGGAGGGGTGGATGTCGTATACTTAGACTTCAGGAAGGCCTTCGATACGGTATCCCACCCCATACTGGTGAACAAGTTAAGAGGCTGTGACTTGGATGACTACACAGTCCAGTGGGTGGCGAATTGGCTGGAGGGTCGCACCCAGAGAGTCATGGTGGATGGGTCGG